TGCAAAGTTTTATAAACATTGAAGGGTTGCTTTTCCTCCTTGGATTGGCCTTGCCTTGGATGGAAAAAGTAAAACAAGGAAGTGTCTGTCATGCAGGTTGTATTAAAATCATACTCACTTCAGTAAGCTTATCTGTAGCATGTTCCTCAGATGATACTTTTTTATTAATCATCCYTTATTCTGTAAAACAAAAAACAAAACCCAACTGCTGTTTATTTTCACTAGCATCCTACACAGCTGAAGAAGGTGAAGTGGTAATGGAGTCCCTCAAGTTTTCCTCGTAGCCAGTGGAAAGTTAAAGCACAGTGCAATAAACAGAAAATTTCAGTAAATGTTTTCCTAAGAGGGAAATGGTTCTTGGTTATCCTCTCAAAGTAAAGAATAAACAATGTTACTAGAGAAAACAAGAACCAGATGAAAACCAGACAAAGTCAAAGAGTACCAAGGGAATCTCTTTTTCTAAACTGAGGAAATTTTGTGGCCTTGTGGCAAAGGCAAGGAAGGAAAGGGAATATAATGACCTGGTCTATTTTAAAATAATTAGCAATACGAATGTTCCCCTCTGATCAAAGTCAGTTAGTATGTTTTGTGTGAAGCTTGGCATTGAGTAAATAAACAAGTATTTTTGTGAATCCAGTAAGAGCTGGATGAAGCTCTACGTGACTTCCACGTGTGGGCTTCAGCACACACAGCCCAGTGGCATCGGGCTGCCTTACTGGGTCACCGAAAAAAAAATCATCAAAATTTACCAAATATATTAATGGAACCTACTAATCTGTCTCTTAGGTTTTCTAGCACATATGCATTACTAAGGCGGAGGAGGAAGATTTTGGATAGAGACAATATTTAGGCTTGCTTTCTATCAAGGCCAGAGTTTGTAAAKGTGGGGAACAAGAAAGCAAGAGAATCATTGAACTAGGGAGCTTAGTTTTCCCAGCATGGTAGGATAGGAATAGCTCAATTGCTCTTGCAGAATAAACTGAAGAGGGAAAAGAGATATTTAAGCTACTGAACCTGGTGGGAGACGCTACGGGGTGCTTTGTAGCTGTTCAACATCTGCTTAAGCCYGGGAAGAGCAAGTGTTGTAACTCTGTCTGGGAGCCCAAGATTGACCAGAAGGAACCAAGGGAGAGAGAAATAATGTAGATGTGTTTTTTTGATAGAACTGGAGTGGTCATTTATTCTGGGAGCTGTGCCTAATGCTAGGTAGGATTGTATTTCACTGTCTCAAATCAATTCCGTGTTTTCCTCATATTTTATTTTATCTGGTATCTGCCAGTTCGTCAGTGAACAATCAAATTGGAASAGTAATTGGGAGAACAAGATCTGCCAAGAAAAAACATTTCTGCCTCTTAGGACATGCTTTTAGTAGAAAATTAGCCACCTGAAAACAAGACATTAAGAAAATATGCTGATTCCAATATCAGTTTTTACTTTGGGGTTTAGGGCTGAGGGAGTTGCAAGATTTACTAATCAGACTGGAGTTGATATGAAACGTGCGTTCCTCAGACTTTCTTATGAGAAAAGGTTTTCCTGGTAAATAGCAAAAAGTTAACAAAATTTTTCCTTGTGGCCTTGCTTGTCACTTAAACTTATGAAATTAACTGGAAAAAAATGTTGTTAGTGGGTTCTCAATGTCAATTCACCTTCAGGCTTTGTACTTATAGTGCTAACCAGAAAACAGGGAGATTGAATCCTTTTCCCAGGATGTCTCAGTATCTTGAAACAGAAATCAGTCCCAAGGTTTGATTTAAGTAGTTCTTCCTGTAGACCTCTTGAGCTACTTCCAGACCTCATGTCTTGAGCACGCTCTATCAAAAGGTGACTATTTTGGATGCTGTTTCCAGCAGGTTTGCAGATCTCAGCATCTTTTTAGAGAAATAGTATACTTTTCAATATTGCAGAGAAAAAGAAGTACATTTTATCAAACAGGTAATCYGGATGTAGAAAATTAAATTTATGRGTGTTCTTTCAATCTTCTTCAGATAGGTTTTTAGGTCTGCTAATTTCAGTGGGCAGATCCCTACTGTAAACTCACTGCAAACTTAAATCTCTGCTGTTGTAAGTGCTAAAGAGGAGTAGCAAGACCTTCCGACCCTCCTGCAYGACCTGGTAGGGCATCGCACTTGGGACAAGGGAAGACTGGGCATTTAAAGATGGTAAAACCTCAATCTGTGCAGACACRCTGATAGAAATATCACATTTTCTCTCTCCATCTGTGCTCCAGTTCTGAAGCAGCGGTCAGCTGTGATAGCCACCCGTCCCTTGGGAAAGGGTGTGAGCAAAATGCTTTCCTTTTAATACTCCAGAGCTAGAGCAGCACTCTGCCTTTGCTACATTTATGCAAAGCCATAATTCACCACGTAAATATAAACTTTATCTTTTTTCAATWAGGAAATTAGAATGAAATTTTTTGAAATGTCAAAAGTAGTCTAAAATTCCATTAGAATATAATTTCCAAGAAGTTTCGCAATCGTGAATTGACCTGTGCCTTCTAGAACAATAAATGAATGCTATTTTATAGTCTTCCCTATCCCAGTTCAAGGACCTGGAAAAAAGCACATTACATTTAATTTCAAATATTCTCTCTGAATGTATATCAGTAACAAGAACAGTTCTCATTTTTTTCCACCAAAAATTTCCCTTTGAAATAACAGTGCATTAGAAAGCCTTTGGTTGTTTAAAATGTTATGCAAAATCTCTGGACTGCTAACCTTGTCAGTGCTCATCTTTGCTACAAGAATCAGACATCAAGGGATCAACACAAAAGACACAATTTTCATAAAATGGCAGACATACATAATAGGAGACAGATTGCAAAAGAACTGCAAAAGAGACCAAAAAAAAAAAAAAAAAAAAGGAATTGTACAAATAAATATTCTGGCACTTACAATATAGACTGGAACCCATGATTTCCTTTGTCAGTGGCCAGTAAACGACTACACAGCTCATAACTTTGTTAAGACAAACTTGTGCTTGAGAAAACTTTGCCGTGTGCGCTTAAATCCTCTCATGTGTGAGCAATCACGCAGAGGGAATCCCACAGACTTCACTCTGGGACAAAACAGTTACACTGTGCTGGTGTCCTTAAACTTTGCCTATTTCTGTGCCATCCTGGGCACAATAAATGCAGAACAAATAAGAGCATTATGGTGTATTTAATTACAACTGCAGGGAGATGGCTGAGAGTAGCATTGAAAATCTGAAGCTAGAATAGGGAGATTTAAATATATTCTACTGAGCTGTGTAATCTGTGCATAAACAGTCTTATCTTGGCAATATAGATAGAACAGGGAAGAGACATGAGGTTGGATTAGATTAGATAGCTTTGAGGTCATATTTGGGCAAAACTCAGCACTTTTCGAAAGCAGGTGTAGCTTGCCAACTGCAAGCATACAAGGACAAAAAAAAAAAAAAAAATAAAAAGCTTGATAAAGAAAAACTTGATAAAAGCAAGTGACTAAAAGTGAAAAGTGGCAGATCCTCACCTGGGCAGGTGAATATTAACATGCTGGCTGTGAGCTTGAGCTGTGACGCACTCGCCTGGACCATGGGCACAGCAGAGCGCCASAGCTTGCAGTTCTCAACAGAAGGGATGGACTATAGGGTGCTTGTCCATCCCCGTCTGGCCAAGTGACAGGATGCTCACCAAAAGGGACACGCTGATAGTTACATAGGGCATTGCTGCAGCTTTTCCCACACCAGCTAAATTGCACACAAGGTGGTARAAAAGGAAAGCAGGGAAGGTATGCAGTATGTCTTAGATGTGGTGCTACTTTTAGCTTGCTGCCAGGAAGAGCTGCCCTAGGTACGTTACTGCACTCGGCAATGCCTCAGCCTCCTTACTGAGGCTGCCCTGATGCACCACAGGACGGTAGTTACCTCCTCCTGTAGTAACTTGCTCAAAGAGCATTCTCATGAGCTTGAAAATTCAGCTGCATGGGCAAGGTGATGCACCTAGACACAAGTCTTTCTGAAAGGTATCATTCTACCTCCCAATAGCTTCAGCTTCAACTCTGCTTCTCTGCATCCTGCCCAAGTTAATCCACCACCTGTCAATGCCCAATGAAAACTGTTAACTGGTTGTGATTTTCAGGACGTAAACGGCTAGCAGGGTGACAAAGAACCATATATAGGGGTAGGCTGTGAGGAAATGAGTTGTTGCTGTGCATGGTGAAGAGCAACACACACACACACAAAGAGAGACAAAAAGAAACCACCACATTTTTTTTTCACCCTTGAAAAAAGATTCTTGGYAATTCTGAACTAGGAAAATAAAATCATATGATGAGAGAAGAGAGCTGTGGTTCTGCATTTCCTTTCTTCTCTGGGGGAAAAGAGAGAGGAGGGAAAGGGAGGGGAGGGGAGGGGAGAGGGTGCCAACAAGCGTAAGTTATAAAAACTCTAGGCACGTGGATATGAGCAATTTACAAAGACAAGGCGGGTAGGAGAGTTGCACTAGCAAAGGGCTCAGTGAGATAACCCYSGCGGTCACTGGGCTAGCCCAGTCGTGCTGCGCCCTGGGGCGGTCACTGGGCTAGCCCAGYCGTGCTGCGCCCTGGGGCTTCCGTTTAATTTCAGAAGGAAGCTCTCTGTTCGCTGCACTAGAGGCTCTCGTGGGCCGGTTGCTTGCAAAACCTCCATTGGCACAGAGAGCACAGAGAGACAAGATGTGAAGTGCTTGGATTTGTAGGTATCTCTCTCTCAAAAGAAAGAAAGAAAGGAGGGAAGGGAAAAAAAGGAAAAAGAAAAATAAAGGAAAAAGCAAAAAAAAAAAAGTAGAAAAATAAAGAAAGGAAAAAGAAAGAAAAAAAAAAAGAAAGAAAAAAAAAGAACAGTAAATACAAGAAGAAAAGAAGTGGGCAGAGCCCACCGCCCACTCGCACAGCGGCCCGGCCCAGGCGCGGCCCGGGCGGGACCAGCGGCGGCGCCGCCCCCGGGCGCTATAAGGGCGCGGGCCGGCGCGGGGCGCGCCCGCTGCCGCGGCTGCCGCGCTCGCCATGTCGCCCTCGCTCTACCACAAGGAGTTCGCCCGCGCCGGGCAGCAGAGCGGCCTCCAGGTGTGGCGCGTGGAGCGGCTGGAGCTGGTGCCCGTGCCTCCCGGCTGCCACGGAGACTTCTTCGTGGGCGACGCGTACCTCGTGCTGTTCACGGTGCGCCGCGGAGCCACCGCCGCCTTCCGCCTGCACTACTGGCTCGGTAGGGCCGGGAGGCGCGGGCAGGGGCTGCCCCGAGCCCCTGCTGCACGGCTCGGGGCTCGCGGGTGGCAGGGGTGGCAGGAGGGCATCCCCTYGCCTTGCGGTGTGGCTTGTGGAAGGGTGAAAGGCAAGTGGTGGCACGTGCAAGCGGGAATCACTGCCCTGCAGCTGAAGAGGACAGGTGACTCCCCCTGGATTCCCTGGGGCTGAAAACTCCTTTTGGCTTTCTCCCCGTGCTCATGGYCTGCTGGCTGAAGCCTGCATGAGAAGTGACAGTTACTCTACTTTCTGATGCAGTTTGAGAGGTTGGTGGTGAAGTCACCAGAGCAGTATTTTTAAAAACAATGAAACGTATTTGCTGTAGTGCTATATGCAATAGCACCTCCTCAAGCAACAGGGAACACTGGGGTCTGGCTGATACAGCTCGCTGCCCCTCTGGACTAGCATAGTGCTTGGGCAGAATAGAAGCTGGTAATAAATGCCCCTTGTTAGTGCATTCTTAGTTGGATTCATCTTCTTTAGACCTTCTTATGTAGTCACTAAGTCATCTGACCCTRCTGGCTCCCTGCGTGGCAACCACGGGTCTGTTGCCCTTGTGTTGTCTCATCCTGAGACTTGTGTTTTATGCAGTCATTTCTGCAGATATGCACTGACAGGCCAGTATGTATGAGCCTATTTGATGTGTTTGAGTTCCCATGGATCTCAATGTGCTTCTGGATGTGTGGGAAAAACCAATAGCTGGTAACTCTGGTATTGTTTCTGCCCAAACATTTGAAGCTTGTTTAGTTTCACTAGTGTCAATGAGGAATGAAGAGCTGGGTGCTGGATGGTATCTGCGTGCGTGAGGGTAATCATAGATGGCAGCATCAGTGAGCTTCTGGCAGGTGTTCTCATGTTGGCAGCACTTGTTGGTTATTACTAGACTTCGCCAAGCTAGACAGTGCTYGTCAGTATTGTGGTGGAGACTCTTGTTTTTGACACTTACCTAGTAGCTAAAATATAGTGGATTCTCCTCAAAGATGTGGAGAGCCCTTACCTGCGTGGAACTGAAATCCACCACCACTCAGTTGTTCAAACCTCTTTGCTGTTGGCTAGAGACCTGCCAGCAGCTGGGGGTGCCCTTCATTCTTCATGCAGAAGACCTTGATAGCAGCACATTTAGCACCTTGAATAATGCTTCCTGCCTGCAAGACCTGCAGTAGAGGCTAGCGGACAGTGAAATGCTCCTGCAAAGTTTAATAGCAACAGGAGACCTGAATTCCATGCGAGTTATGCAGGAAAGAGCAGTTGGATTTGGGTAGGAGTTTGCATGACTGGTATCTCTGACTCTCATTACTCCTGGAGATGCCAAACTTTGCATGAGCAGCTGCTTTTTTAACCTGTGGCCAGAAAGACCTTGGATTTTGTGAAGACTTCCTGTAAATCTCCAAGAAGTAACTGAAAGTCAAATTAAGTGAGATTTCAGGATGGAAAGAAATTCTTGTGAAATTGGGTGGGTGGAAATCCTATGGACTTTTCACCTACCACACACTTGTCTTCTGCTGTGGAAACTTCTGCATACTTGATTCCTTCAGTACCTTGCCATTTGGTTATGCGTTTGTCATTCCTGCCTGTCATCTCTGTGAGCCTGCATGACAGCTTTGAATCTGGATGGATTCTGACTTGATATTCATCCACAACATCCCAGGCTTCCTCCTAATGTGTCCTCCTAACCTTGTGTGTACCTGAAGGGATGGAAAGAGGTCTATATCATGGCCATAGTTGAAAACCTTATGCCTGGGCTCATTCAGTGCAATTAGATGGTATTGAGTAAAATGTTTCTGAGGTAGCCCTTCAGCCACAGAATAGTTTTTTCTTTTCTTTCCTCTTTGTATACTTCTATATATACTTCTATAGGTATACTTCTAACAGACCAGGGTCTGCTCTTTAGCCAAGAAGGCTGCATTAAAGCTAAACTGTCGTTTTCTGGCATCTCAAACTGAGCTAGGCTTGCTTCCTGAAGACTTTTTTAGAAAACTAAGACATATGGATGTCATTAATTTGTTGCAATTTTCACATCTTTGTCTTTTCAATTGTTAAAAGTTAGTGTTTGCTTGTGTAGTGTTTTAGGTTAGTGTAGATTTTATARTTGAATGCAATTAGTCATCTTACAGCATATTTTAACTTGGAGAGTTTTTATTTCACTGATTTAAGCTAAGCTAGYGTCATTTTTATAGGTAACATCCTCTTTTAGTTAAAAATTATTTATAGCCAAGTTTTCTCTAAAGTAACTCTGGTAAGTATTCTTGATAATGTTATTGCTGAAGAATTTAAACTGTATAGCTTGCCACACCTATTTATATGAAAGCAAAACAGGAACTAACATAATAAAAAAAGGTAAATATAAATTTATCAGCCTGAGGAGATCTATTGATTTGAACTGAGATAGAAGAACTTTTAAACAGTTAAAAATAACCTGTGAGACATTCCAGTTTTTGTTCTTCACAGGAGAAAAAGAAAAAAAAGATGTTTTTTAAGAGGAGGGCAAAGTGGAAGGGGGCTACGGTACTCTTCTTCTGTATGTCCTATTCATAGGACAGACTTCCATGCTTTAATTTAGAAAGTAAATCTGAATGACACATCTGAAGTACCAGTTCAGGCTAGGAATTGAAAAATGCTCACTGCCCTTGTGCAGGCAACCTGTGTCCCACTTCCTTAGCTGTATGGGGACAGCATCCTTGCCTATATTTCCTTGAAAAGGTACCTTACTCGAGACTTTTTAGGACTGAGTAGGGCAGAGAGGCACCTAATCTTTTTACTAAGAAAAGCATACTAGTGTACTACGTAAGAAAAGTATAACTAGTTATGTTGAAGCAAGTTTAGTCCGAAGCATCCTGCCTCAGCTGCAGAGCTAAGGCTTGCGTGGTAGTTATCTCCTTACAGCCCAGGTGGGGTAGCTTCTTTGAGGTAACTTAATCTGCTGGAGCATGGCAAGGAGATCACAGCAGCTTCACACCACATCTTGGTAGTGGAATCTGTCCTTAAGTTGGCACAGCACTTGCAGTTTAGATGTGCACACAGGTGTTGAGATAGCTACGAAGACATTCTTAGCTAAACTACTAGCTGACTCTTCTGCTCAATGGAAAGACTATGCAAGCTTTGAAAACAGCCATTTGGGTGTATTTTGTGACAACTGTTTTTCCAGTTCAGCTCTGGATACAGAATTTCAGGAACCTGGTGAGTCAATTTGACAATTTCAAGCCTATTAAAATGGGGGATGGGAGGAGTTAGTTGAGCAGCAATATTACTGTTAATTTGCTCTTACAAATGTTAATTAATGTTAATTTGCTCTTACAAATCTTTCCTTGAAGTGAGGTTCAGAATACGTGGTGATGCAGACACAAGCCCAACATGAAGAGAGTTACCTGTACTTGAAATTGTCACAAGCAGAAGTGGCAGGTACTATTCCAGGATGAGACTGCTTGTGGGAATAAGAATGGCTATGGCCTTCTCAGTTTTGTTTATAAAACAATGCCTGTGTGTTTTGTTAACTATCCTTGATCCTTGTCCTCCGAGGCAAAGTACTAAGACCTAATCCTGTATACCAGAATCAGTTGTGGTTAAATTCCCATTCTTCCTCATCAGAACCTTGTACACTGGGGCTTGTTCAGAGCTGCTTTTAACTTAGACTAAAAGGCAAACCTGATTTCCTCATGTCTTGAACACACTACAGTATGGTTCATGTACATTTGTGTGTAGTTTTTAATAGGTTTTCACTGACTAGTTTATTGCAAAACAGCTGCGAGCTATGGTAGTGGTTCTGATATCTAATGATGCTCCAAGCACAGTTTTCTTGGACCTTGACCCCTGCTGTATAATTATAAACAATAAATCTAAAGGATCTAGTTTCAAGGGAAATGAATAGCCATATAAAAGCATTGAGGTCTGAGAAAGAAGAAATTGCAGTGTGACAATATGCATCACTCTTAAGCGATGGGGTTTTATTTAAAAAAAAAAAGTACTTGGGTTGCATCCTGTGCATCCTGATTTCACAAATTTTCTACGTCTTTTTGGGCAGGCCTTGCTGCTTTTTGTTCCTTATGCCTCATTTTTCTTTGCTGTCCTTTTGGCATCCACTTAATCCTTGCTGCTTGCTTACTATGGGTTTTCAGTGCGCCACAAAAGTGACAACAGTAGTATTAGTGCTTGAGGCAGAAGTGGAGAAGTGTTAAGAGCTTGGGAAAGCTGTTGGTATATGGAGAAAGGGGTTACTTTGGGAGTTTGTGCTGCTGAGCCAGTGATACCAGGCGGCTGAGCCTAGTTCAAGGAGACATTCAAGCAAGGAGAAACTCTAGTGCTTGCCCTTGGGTGATCCATCTTTGCCACACTTGCTGTTTCCCTGCATCCAGCTGATGGCTCCTGACTTGCCACATCATCAGCTTCTCCTGTAGCCCAGGCTTTAATCTTGCCCTAATGCACAGCCTGCTTTGCAGAGTGAGTAGGCCACCAACATCCTAAGTAAGGAAGGCCATTTGGCTCCAACCTTGGGAACAGACAGAACTCTAAAAGGTTCTTTCTTCATCAGGACCTACTTTGTTGCTCAGCCCCAAAGCTGTTTTTCTTTCTCACAGCTTTATCAGGTGATCTAACAAGATATCTATGCAAAACATCCTTGCTTGTGCTATCATGTTAATAGGAATACTCAATATTAACTTTGTTTATAGCTTAAGAAAAAACATGTTGAGTTGCTCTTATGCTTAATATGTTTTGCTGTTTAACCAGTCCTATGGTGTTACCTTCCTGTAATTTTCACACCTAGCTTGAGTACAGAAGTGGGTTACCAGATAAGTCTGGTATCCCACTAAATTAACTTTTTGAGATTTTGTTTAAATGGATTGAGAGGACAGAAATTCAGCTTTTGCCTCCTGTTCTTAGCTTATGAAGTCTGTTTGCAGCAGGCTAAGAAACAGTCAAGGTGATAGTGCTTTTGCCAGTGACTCAGGTTATGATGCAGGGCTCTGTCACAGCACATACACAGACTGTACGAGCTGCAGGGCTCTGTCACAGCACATACACAGACTGTACAAGCTGCAGGGCTCTGTCACAGCACATACACAGACTGTACAAGCTTTAGAAGACAGAAACTACTTCTACAACAAAATTCAAAGGTATGTATTGGGTTTAATAGGCAAAATATCTCATTTTCTTTCAGGGAAAGAATGTACCCAAGATGAAAGCACGGCTGCGGCAATTTTTGCTGTTCAGATGGATGACTACTTAGGAGGAAAGCCTGTTCAGAGCAGAGAAATTCAAGGATATGAGTCTACTGAGTTTGTGGGATATTTCAAAGGAGGAATTAAGTACAAGGTAAAGAGGCAGCTGAGAAAATGCACTCCTAAAATATTTAACACTGTCTCCCAAGGTAGAAACAAATCTTTAATGGACTTGAAAAACTGCTTTGTCTGCTAATGAATATTTCAGAAATTGTTTCTTAATGCACAGTAGTATTAGATCTGTGCTAAACTATGAGCTCAATACTTGCAGAGTACATGAATGCTTAACAGCCTTTGTTGACATSTGGCCCCAAAAGCTTCCCCAAAATTAAACTACTTTGAGAATGTTCTTGTCACTAAGGGATCTCACGGTTGGGGCTCCTTGTTTAGGAGATAATAAATATCAAAGAAGCATTTCCTATGCAGTGGGCTGGGTTGCTTTGTTCAAATCCAGAATCAAATAAGCTGATGTTGTTACAGGCATGAAGCAAAGAGGCTGAGACCTTGATTTGGTTTAAAAAAAAAAAAGTATTTATACTTTATGGAATAAATCTTGCAGGGCTATTGCAGTTATCCTTATTTTTGAGATAATCAAAACCACAAATACTTTTATTAAAAACTTTTTATTTTAGGAAGCTGACATTCTGTTGGTTCTAATATCAACCTCCTTACTGCTCTGGAGTAGTACAGCAACATTAGAGAGGTACATCTGACCTGAGTATGCTATTGAAAGAATGATGTATTTTCTGAGAAATAAAAATATTATATGCATTCCTTTGTGTCTATGAACTCCAGTGACTACAGGCTGCTTAAACCGAACAGATGACATCACTCAGTCACTGTTTTTTTAGATTTGTAATAGAAGTTTTTAACTTGTTTAAACAATCCAACTGAAGCTTTCAGCCTTCAGGATTGAAAATAAGAAATCTTGACTGCAACCTGTCTGCTCTGCTTTTTTCTTTTTTCTTTTTTTTTCTTTTTTTTCTTTTTTTCTCTCTCCTTATTTGAGAGAGGCTGGCTGACTGTTTCAACCAGGGTCTACATATCCTGCAGGAGGTAAGAATACTGCCTCCCAGGAGCTTGTATCCCAGCCAATTTACAAGAAATAAGTTAGACTTAAATTTATAGCTGTTTATGTATACTGCATCTGTTTCATTTCCTCACATGTTTTGGTGTTCTTGGCTTGGTTGACTATAAGCAGCCAAAAATTTCATAAAATTTTAAACTGCTATAGAATTATTCTTCTGTTTAGTTATAACTAGACACTTAAGTCATTCAGATTTGCGAGATTTAAGAAATTGAGAAAATCCAAAACCCACCTAGGAATTGTATAAGTGTGTGAGTTATGTGGTGGTGTTTTTTTTAAATCAGTCCCTATGCATTAACCAACTCAGTTTTGTCCCCAAGTTCATTTCATCATTATCTTAACCTTAGGACAGTGCAGGGAGAATGCAGTAAATACCATGCTTTCTCCTTTCTCTCACCCTCTGTCAAGAAAAGAGAGCCCTTGAAAGCAGAGTGTTGTCTGATAAAGGTTCACAACGTGGGAGAGTTCATCTGCAGAAGTTTTCACTGTGTCTATCTGGTCTGTGGTCAATGTTGTTAAAACCATATAGAATTCTGGTTCATCTCTTGCTGCATAACTTCCTTTTTTTCTTTTTCCCTTTCAGATAGTTAGCAGAAGGTAAGCAGAAGATAGTTAGCAGAAGGTAAGCTTGCCAAAAACATGCTGAACTCAAGTTTGCTTCTTTATTTTTATTCAGACAGGGGGGGTTGCCTCTGGATTCAAGCATGTTATTACTAATGATCTGAGTGCCCGGAGACTTCTACATATCAAGGGCCGGAGAGTAGTGCGAGCCACAGAAGTTCCTCTTGCTTGGACCAGCTTCAACAAAGGAGATTGTTTCATTATTGACCTTGGAGCTGTAAGTTTTTCACAGAGAAATAAATGCCAAAACATAAGAGCTATAGCATCTTTTCTAGGGCTTAAACTGTGCCTTAAAATATGCAACTGACTTGTTACTTGCTCAAATCAACTGAAAGACTCTCCATCAGAAATTAGTTTTATTGCTACATGTTTTAAGTTCAAAATTGCCTTTAATGGTTTACAGAGAACACATTTTGCAATAGGAAACAACTGATTCACACTTAAGTCATGAAGTGTTTTTTACCATTGTGATGTGAGAATTTTATTTATCAGATTTTCACACGAAGGTTCACATTAAGTGCTTTCTCACTTTGGTGCTATCCACAAATGGAATGGGCTAAAGATTTGACAAAGTTCAGAACTGAATATAAACTTAACTTTTGCAAAAGCACAGTAGGAAAAAGTGAAAATACTTTAAGTAAACAGCAACAGCAGCTGGCCTTAATTCTACACTTCAAAAAGGAGTCAGATTCAAGATTTTGGAGAGGAGTTTCCTACAATACTGCAAATGTTTTTCTGTATTCATGTTATAAATCTGACTTTCTCTGCAAAGCTTTCCCTGGTGTGACACTTGGATTGTGAGGGTCTAGGCATTTTTAAAGAATAGTGCCAATTCCTAATCTGTATGCAAGTAGTTTTTTAATGAGGAATGTTTTTTTTTTCTTGAATGTATAAGTGTGTTCGGAGCAGAGAACTGTTTCAACATCCAGGATTTTATAGTGATTTCATCTTCATTTGCTTTACAAAAATAGGATTTCCTTTCCTGAGTGTTGAAAGTATTTAAAGATGAACACATGTGACTTCAGCTGAAGTGTGAGATGCTTAGAACTTGCTCAGGTTTACACTGTGACACCATCTTCTGAAAACTTCAGATTTCTGATATTTTAGGTTGAAATTTTCCATGACAAGACCCTTTGTAAAGATATCTAAGGAACTCTTAGTCAAATACAGAATGGTTCTTAAAAATAAGGATTTTTAGCACAATGCATGGTTTTACTGTAATAACCAAAATAAAATGAATGTTGAGTAGGGTTGCTCTGAGCCTTGGGATTAGTCACAAGGCACAACTGAACCATCAGCTGAGAATAATGGCATAAAATAATGAGCTTATGGCYGGTACTTCTAATATCTCATTATCATAGCTTGTCAAATAAGATGAATTTCTAAGTACTTTTTCCAGTCCCTTAGCTAACTAGAGAGATGGTCTCCATTGCACTATAAAACTGCTTGCACAGCCCATTTCCTGCTAACTTCATTAGACCAGTCATCTAATACAATAAGAAATCATTTATTTTCTCATTGAGCTCAATTACTTCAGTACTTCAAACCTGTGGTCTGAAGAGATAAGGGGTAGCTTTAAAAAGCTAATAGTCAGGAACAAAACAATGATTGGCCTCTAACACTTTTCTTGCTGGTGATAATTACCTAAGTATGAAGCTTTTTGTGTTTATTTCCAGTTAGCCTCAGATCATTCAGGTTCTGTTTACCTCTGTTGTTTACAAAGCTGGGCTTAAGAGCATTTTAAGCATCCTGCCCAGATCTTATCAAAAGACTTGCCTACTTTGAACTTCCAAGGCTGGAGGAGAAAATAGTTGCAAGGAGAGAAGACATTAGCTCTTGAGTGCCTAGCTGAGTCGCTTGCTGTCAGAAATGTGGAAAGATGTCTATCCAAACAATCTTCTGAAAGCATGTGACATGAGTTCTGTGACCAATGAAATTTCCACATTTCAGTGCAATGAGTGATTCATGAGGATGTCTGCAGTGCCAGACACTGGTTGTGTGTCTTTGGTTTTCCCCTCTCCTCAGCAAGGGACTTGAATTCTACCTCTGCATTTGAATCTGGGAGTCCCTTATGGGAGAATTTGGGGACAGAGCAGGCAGCCAAAGTACAAAGCAGTTGCTGAGAAGGCTTTGCACAAGACCTGGAGTGTAAAAGCCTAGTGTTGGGTGCTTTTTAGTGCGTCCTGTCCTTGTGTAGGTGCACTTGAGCCCTCACAGAAATCGTGACCTCCTGCCATACTGCTGATGCAAGTTCACTGAAGGGGGCTGAGCACTTCCTGGTCTCACCTGGCAGACACCAGGGCTTGTCYGACATTTCTTGCCTATGCAAACTGTTTGGCTCTGTTCTGTGCTGTCCCCTGTAGCTCCGGAGGATGAGTGATACAGAAGTAATCATGTCCAGCCACCTTCCTCTTTCTCTTCAACCGTCAAGACAGATTTAATGGAACTTGGAGCCGTGGAACACAAACCTAATGGAACATGAATATTCGCATTTACAAAATTCTGAATATTGAAGGACACTAGGAATGACTGTAAGACTTCAGCCCATGAGAGAAAGGGTCATATTCAAAACAGATGTGGAAGGAGGAATGGGAGTAGCAGTATAGTAAGTGCTTGCTAAATGTTCAACTGAATTTGAAAGGTCCTCAAGCCATATTGAAGAAATCCTTTGCAGCAGGAAGGCCATATAAAGTTACATTCTTCCTGACCTGTTTAAAAAAAAAAATTCTCTAGGTAGCAATTCAATTAGAAATATGTAAAGTATAAAGTTTAATTCTAACTGGTTGCTGTCTTGAACAGATGTAGCAACAGCAACAAGAAACTGCAGAGAGCAGGAAGAGGACTGCATATCACTTAACCACTGTAAGAAAATGGAGAAATAGTCACTAAAAAGAAGTGTAGTGTGTTTGACAAATGCTGAACAGTTCTCTAAGCTTGGGCCTGACCTATGCAAGAAAGGATACAAGCATAGTTGCACCAGGAGGAGGTTCAGGCTAGATATTAGGAAAAACTTCAACACAGAAAGTAGTCAAATATTGGAACAGGTTGCACGAGAAAGTGGTAGAGTTTCCCTCCCTGGCAGTGTTCAAGAAATGTGTAGATGAGGTGCTTGGGGACACGGTTTAACAGGTATATCATTCAGGGGCTTACAGTTGGACTCAGTCTTGAAGGTCTTTTCCAACTRTAATGATTCTATGATAGTTCAGTTAAACCTTACTCCTCCCCSCAAAGGAAGTGACTGTCAAAATGTCAGGCTAGRCTCTAACTATGCCAAAAGTTAAGTGAAGGCAAATTGTACTTGGTGGTTCATCCTTCTTATTTCAAGGTTGGTACTTCAAAATGGTGGTCTTTAAGCAGCTAAGATGCTGCTGGATTGAGGTTTGTGGGAAGTGTTAGAAAATCAATTTGCTGCACTATACTGCAATAGGCAAACATGATTTTTGAAAGGTTTCATAGATAAGAGGTGAAGATCATGGTATCACAGTGCAGAGGCATAGGACTGAGTAAAGGCCATGTGTTAGGTTAAGTTTTCCTGCTTGAATTTGTGCTAAGAGTGAGAGAAGCTTAAGTTGGGAAGAAAAGGCTCTCACACAGACGCTAGCAGAAGGGACTGGCGTTTTATCACTTATTAAAAACAATTAACTTACTATGCACTAAAATAGTTTTCTTCTAAAGGTAATTTCTGCTTTTTAACAGTAAAAGATGAAGAGGATAGATAACTGTTTTATGGTTATGACTATGGGTATGAGTCAATGTCAGATTGCAACCCTAAGTACAGTTACAGCTTTACTTGCCTCTATAATCTCCCTTCATTCTGGTTTGCTTTATCTTTCCTAGGTGGCCTTTCTACCACTTTCAGGAAATCAATTCCCAGTCAGCACACTAATCACTTTATTGTAAAGTCACTGCATGGGAGTAAACAAGACTGGAAGAACTAATTCTTCCATGTGGAAGTCTGTCACTGTGAGATTCTAGTTCTCGTAGTTCTCTTTTTGTGTGATGTTACAGCCAACCACTTTTCCCTGTTTCAGTTTGTGTTTTTTCTACAGCTAACCTCTTCCCCAGTTTAGCTCACCCAAGAGTTAGAACATTGGTTGTGCTGTAGCAGTTGCCAAGCAGGCATCAAGAACTAAACAGCTTTAGTTCTCTATTAACTTGATGGGTTATTACCATCAGGGAAATATGGCTATATCTATGCACAGTGTATCTTAGTAAACAGGCATATCTTATTACTCTGTTTCTAGTAATTTGACTGCTCTGTGCATCAATTATTTTTACAGTTTGAGTAGCATAAAGAACATTATGGGAAATAATGTTCACAGTCATCAGATTAAGAACAATAACTGAAAGGAATGGAATTGACTTAATAGTTAAAGCTTTGATCTGCATTTTTTTTGTGGAAAGTTTATTTTTTGCAAGCAAACAAGAAAATGGGTTAAAACTGAGACCTAGTAACTGAGAACTTGTGCCTTCTGGTGAATAGGGCATACATGTATGTATGAGTACTTGGGTTAGTTTTCTTACAGGAGCTTGTGGAAATCCAAATGTATTGCTCCTGCATGGCCCTTCTACAGATCCCTTTGGGACACTGTCCTATAGTGACTAATATTTTCAGACTGCACTAACCAAATGAGAAAAACTGAAGGTAGTGTGGGACTGTGACACATCTGGCTCCATCTTGATGATTGATTCCAGCTGAATCAAATGGGAGACTCCAAAACTGATTACAGAGGCTCCATTGTAATTATACTAGGGCCATTCATGGTGATCTCAAACAACATTCTGGTTGAATTAATTCAGAGTTTGGATTGGATTATCAAAAATCTGCAACTTTCAAAGACTTACTGTGTTAGTTTCAACAAATGTAAAAGGCAGACTTGATGAGTATGTGAAATGATCTTTTTCTCTGTACTAAGAAGTCAACAGCTGAGACATCAATAAACACAGAATTTTTCTGAAGAAAAAATCACTTCCGAATCCTACTTTCACTTTGTCCCAAACAGCCTTCTCATTATATGTCAGCTTCTGCAAAACTGATTTAGTTACTGAACTATGAAGTTGAAAAAGTGGGTTACTTATATTGAGTTGTATTACTCACCTGTTTATTTCTGTTATTTGGACACTTCATGRTTTAGCATACTATTTTTGGCAGAAAATGAGGTTAGTTTTCATTTAAAGCTTACAGAAGCTAGTGTCTGAGTGAGAACCACTGACATA